ACAGGCTTTTGACTGTCACACCCACCACATGGGGAACTGAGACAGGTAAGTGCTTTTTGGCAGCCACTCAAAGGGAGCCATAATGCTTAAATCCACGGTGATTGACCTCAAGAAGCAATGACATTTCCTGCGACATGTTCAGTATCGTCTAGGATAAGATGCCAGACGGCTAACAGTTTTGTGTGCTGCTGCTTCTGCACATCAGCTCATCAAAGGAACGCAAATAACTACAGGTATCAAGGTAAGGATGGCAGCAGACATGCAGGAAACGGTAACAGCAGGACCACACACACCGATAGACACACACATGATGTTTAAATGCCAAGAGCTTTTTCTTGCTCCACAATTTGAACGGTTGAGAAACACGCACTGCAGATACGGCATGTGAACATTTCAAACTGCTTTTCAGTTTGCTGCTGTAGCTAATAACCACCCTGTTCAACAAATGCATGGCACATTCTAGCCTTCCCCCACTCCTTGCTCACGTAGCTGTAAGGCAATTATGAATGACACCCATCTGCTTTTCCAATTTACTCTGAGCAGCTAACGAAAACTGTCACTGAGGTATTTGTAAGCTCCTCAGTCTGGTCCCAGTGACATGCTGAAAAGGGAGTCCAGGCACATCTTTGATCACACTCCTGTGCCCATTCCAACTTCTGTGTCAGCTTGGAAGAGCAGAAGAGTAAAACCCATTACAGGGGAAAGACTGGAGAGCTATTTGCCTACCTCTCCATCTGTCTATTTGTAAAATCCATCTGAAGCAGCTCTATACCTGGATATTTTGAGCATCTACAGCATAAAGCTTGTCTATGTAAACTGACATGAGAACATGTGCTATATTAAAAGGATCAAACACAAGCTTAAGAGGAGGATTATTTGTTTAAGATAAAAATGACTAGACCTGCACAACAATAGCCTCTTGAAATTATCTACCTTATTTGTATGCAGAGAAATTTGAAAGATGATTTCACCCAATTCTCCAAGGTGTGGAGACACTCACAGCACTTTCTCACAGCTAAAATTCTACCCTGGCAGGGCTTTTTCAAGCAACAATTGAATGAAAAAGTGCAAAAAGTTTTTTGGCCCAACACTAAAAATATAGAACAACATGAGAGACACTCACAGTACTTGAACAATGGCTATTTACATAAAGGTACCTAGCAGTGAATCTTTCAGAACCGGCTCACCCTATTTTAAATGTGAATGCAGAGATGTGAGTTGGTTTAAGTCCACAGGCAGAGCAATCCTGACATTGCTTGACAACATCTAGATAACTTTAGGGTTGCTCAGATTCCCAGCTATGTGGTCAGAAAATTGCTCTAGGCTTGTAGTTGAGAGTTGCCCTCAGGTCTCCTTCCTCTCATTTAGTCAAACTGCTTTGCAGGAGAAGAGGAATAAACAAGCAACTCTCACTTCCACATGCCTCCCACCCTGGATAGGGTATCCATAATCCTCTGAGTTTAGAGGTTTGTGCATAATCTTATTGGACTGCTCCTAAAGGAACAGAATCAAACTGTTATATTAGTCAGAGCACACTGGCCAAATGTTATAGACTTCCTTTTTGCAATCATCCTTCTGATGACATATGCAGAGAGGACAGTCTTTGCAGATAAATCCAACTGGCATTTATTTCTAGTAAGCAGGAAATCGGGGTAAACACATTTTGGAGTCAGTTCTCAAAATGTGTTATGAGGGCCATGATATTCCTGGAGACTTTGAAGGGAAGACATACAAAAAGTATCCTAGTATAGCGAGGCTCAGCCTGAAGTCTACATTTACAGGTGCCTTTATTTACTCCGAACAAGTTCTGAGTAAAAAATGCATATGTACTTGTAACTTCCATCTGGCTAACCTTAGAAATAGTTCTAATACTTTATACCAAGGGTGAACAAATTGTAGTTTTCCATATTTTTTGGGCTACAGCACCTACAAGCCATGGACAGCTGAGCTGATGGTGAGGCTGAGGGAGGTCATAGGCCGAAACACCTAGATAGTCACAAATTGCTAATCCCTAATTTATTCTGAGAAACATTTTGATTGACTCAGAAGACACAAATGTACAAAAATTAAATAGAAGATTCAGCATATTCTTTTCCTAACACATTTAGAATAATTCAGAAGGGCAGCAGTGGTACACCTTGCAAGAACTTCAGATTCAACATTATGAATCACTTCTGTTTGGTGTGCTAAATCTAGTTGTGTCAGATGTGCTGAATTCCATTTTTGTCAAGTTCCATCTTAACACTTCATCATGACACGAAATAATAATCACTTCAAATCCTTGCTTAGGAAAGTGCATGTTTCTGCAGAAAGTCGAAGATGATGTGATAAATGAGACAGCCTGCTTAGCTCTAGGAAAACTGAGTCCAAGTGTGAAACGTAAGCAGCCTACAGTACTAAGTGAAATTGTTCTGTCTTGTTGATGTTCCTGAACGTGAGTGCCTTTAAAAAAAAACGGAATGCACACACAGATAAATGTGCATTTTCACAAGTGTGCATAGATAAAAAAATTCTGTCTCACACACTTTTCTCTGCACCACTAATAATTTTAGAAAAATAACGTTTTTAAAGTAAAAGCCCAAACTATATCAGCCATTTTCAGGTGGAGAGTATTTCAGGATTTTTTCATAATTTTCTGGTATTCTGAAATGAAATCTAAGTTAAAATGTAATATAGGTTTAATAGAAATTCAGACTATAATAAAATGTGTGTTCCACCATAACTTCAAGTTATAGACACCTGAAATATTAAGTATTAAGACAAAGCTAAGGGTGTATGCTTCAGGGGTTATTTGGATTTTGAAATGCATTACTTAATTTGACTGTGAATGTATGTTTAAAGCCCAGGATAATGAGACTTTAATCCTATACATATCATCTACTAGGGTTTTGCTGTAGGAAAGCTTTGCAAATACCTTGGATCAACAGAAAGACCAACAAGTGGTCCTGGATCAGATCAAACCAGGACTTTCCCTAGAATCAAAAAGACCAAACTGAGCCTGCCATACTTCAGACACATCATTAGAAGGCAAAATTCCTGGGAGGAGATAATCATGCTAGGGAAAAGCAAAGTCAGAAGAAGAAAAGGAAGACTAAATATGAGACTCCACAGTCCATTCCACCCCACAGTTAATCCATAAATGAAGCCACAGCTTTGAATTTGGAAAAGCAGAGTAGGGCTGTCATGGACAGGACATTTCGGAGGGCTTTCATTCATGGAGTTGCCCTCCATTCAAAGGGCCTTTGGGCTGGGGTAGTGGACAATAAGCCCAAAGATAGATAGATAGATGAATAAGTCTGAGACGACCTGATGGCACATAACAACAACAAAGGAACTTACTTCTATAGCCAGCAAGTATCTTTGCAGTCCAGACAGTATGACGCTAACATAGACTATTAGACTAAGGAACATGATTATACATTTGCCCCTTCCGGCTACTACATTGCAGGCACAAGCACTGCTATTTACTTCCTCTATGATGGACAAATTTTATCCTTCCAAGTAATTACCAACCCTTGTTTCTGAAAGCTTATTGGCATGTAACCAAGAGACTTCACTCTTTCCTGACCTCGCGCCTTCATTTCCAACGCGGGTATTCTTGCACAATGTTCTTGCAAGTGTATAAACAGCTTCAAGCAGAAATCCATTGGTTTGGAGCCAGAGTTCTGCATGCATAAAGGCTTTGGTGGAAGTGGACTTGCCTGCCCACTCTTCCTCCCCACAGCAGTGCCTTCACAATTGCTCCACAGAGGGTCAATGGAACCTACTGGATGTGGTGGATTTTTTCCGGAGGACTAAGCAGAAGTCCCTGAAAACTGGAATTGCCTTCCCTGAGTAGTAACTTGTGGAAAGGACCTCTGCCTGATTTGGGGGCATCTCTCCCTTCTTCCTCTGAAGCAGCAGGTTCTGGAAATACACTTGCTTCAAAATGGGACACGATTTAGGTAATCTAGATTGGCGACTTTGTTCATTTGCCTTTTACACAGAATTCAGGCAGAACTGCTATCAAATTGTTACAGAACTTTATTTCATATAATGTCTTCCTGTGTTCCTTTCAGACTGTCATTTTTTGGAAATAAAATACAATTAAAACATCATCCAATTTTCTGTGAAGAGGTGAGATATTTTGAGGCACTGAAGAACTCTTAGGTTTTTAATTCAAAATACCTTACTCATTTTTTGAGTGTGAGAGATTAGTTCTGAATAGCTTCCTAATAGCTGCTTGAATAGCTTCTCTTTAAAGCCCCAAAATCAACTTCTTCCCAGAGGGTAGGGAGGCAACTTCATTTTTATTTTCCTTATTATTAATTCCTTATTTATTGACTGTACTTTTAAACTACCCAATAACTGATGTCATGTAGTTGGTACTGAAAAGCATCAAGCAATTCAGGAATATCAACCAGATCACACTCCCTCAGTCACTCTCCCAGGGTATGTCATCATACAGGTTGACCAAAATTGGTTACATGCCAAATGCCTCAGCAATGCCAGGACAATGCATTAATATTCCCCCAGCACACACACCAGGAGATAACAAAATGGACAGGACCACTGAATAAGGTATCTTTAATCAACATTGGAAAGTGCCTTTCCTGGATGGGGTTTACTTATGAGTAAACATTATTGAAGGATACTAGCCATGGGGTATGACATTGTAATATCATTTGATGTGCTGCCCTCATTTTAATCTAAGTAAAAGGCTTTAATGTGGAAGCAACCTTAAATCTGTTATTGAATGTGGTCTTATTCATGATTGAAATCAGTATTTGATTTGCCTCAATGTAAATGAAGATGCCTATGTTTTGCAGATTGACAGTGCCATCATAAAAAGGTCAACAATACTATGATAACCATAAACTAATTCAGAAGACCATATAGATGTACCAACAATTTTTATTTTTAAAAATCTATTTGAAATATACATATCCTGTTCTATAAAGTAAATTGGTTCAGAACAATTTCAGTATCAAACAACACTGCAATGTTCACATCTTACTCACCAGATATTTCCTCTAGGCACTGTTTGGCAGTCTTACTATAAGCCAAATCCATTTTTGTAGGGCTGGTGCAGGAGTCAGCGGGTGGGAGAGAAGTACTGTCATTTTCTGAATGAGTTCTGAAATTAATCACAGAGATTGACTGTAACATCTGTAACACCCATAGCAGTGGTAGATGTGACACAATGTATAATGGAGTTGTATGTAATTCATCAAAATCCAGATTTGGGAAATATTGTTAGCACCTTTTTTTTACACAAGTACAGAGTGTTAATCTCTTAAGAAAGATAAGATGATATCCATATGATGCAAGGGAGGAATGTTTACCACCAAGACATATTATTACTAAATATAACCAGACAAGATGTCAAGACTAAATGTCTCTAACAAACTTTCCCTACAAGGTGAGAAATGAGTGGGAAGGGAATGAGTAAATGAACCCACGAGTTAAGTAATAAATATAGTAATCCTAAAGCCTCTGCGAGAACACCCCGGACACTATAGGATGTGACAGATCCCCACCCTTTAACCTATAGACACTGCTATGGCCTCAGGAAGAAGAATTTAAGAACAGACCATTCCCCTTCCTCTTCATCAATGCACTGAAAAATATCTCAGTGGTTGCTCTTCTGAGGTCATAGCAGTGATGTCAGGACAGTCTGAGGAATGAAAAGAGGGGAGAGACGGTAGGCAGGAAGATAAGGAAAGAGGATAAGCCAGTCTTTTGTTGCTCATCCCATTCACAACGAGGATGGAGATGCCAACTGTGGCATGCTTTAGGCACCAATAAAAGATCTATCACTTCACCCAGGACTTCCACAATTGATAGTGCTACTCAGTTGGTTTAGTCATTATGTCTCTGCAAACAGACAGTTTTAATGTTTTATATATGTTGCATACAAGTGCATTTGTATTTATTAATATATATTTCATGTATTTGAACCTCTCTGTATAAACAGCTTAGAGATGTCTTTCGGATATGGTGAGTAATATAGAAATTTATAAAATAAATAAGGTAGGAATCTAGATGAGCCATGAGGTCAGTCAGTAAGAAAGAAGAACAGGAGATATTCTATCCTTTATCTTCCTTTCATCCTACTTGGTCCCTGCTGGAAGGGCAGAAGAAACATGGATGATGCCAATGTTGTAGAGCTCTGTCTACGGAACAGCAGTTTTGTAGGACTGTCCCCTAAGCATAGATACACTTGAAATGGCAAGGTTCTAAACCTTCCACTAACTTGGTGTGTATGCTTTATTATCAAAAATGAGAGCACCAGGATGTTGCAATTAAAGATCAGGAACCCATACAGAAAGAAGAAATCATAAACAACTGGTAGATACATATTAAGGGGCAAAAATGCATCCACCAAATGTTTATGTACCACTTTTTGGTTAAGTTTGGCCAAAACATTTTCAGCACCACTGAACTCAAAAGGGTTCTCTTTTTGTAAACATAAGTGGGATCGTGCTATAAATTATGATGAGTTTTTGAAAACTTGGGACCTGAAAGAAATAGTCCCAATATACAGAGAACTGAACTTATTCTTTCATCAATGGGGCTTTCATTACAACAATGTATGGATGGAGCAGAATATAAAAATACAACTTCAATGATTGCAAGTGTCAGGCCATGCAGCTAGTACTGCATACATACACAATCACATATTTAAACATTATAGTTATATCATATGAAACTACTATTAATATAAGAACTAGAGATTTTCTAATTGATACCCCTGCTCTGATATGTTTAGTTAAAGGAAAAATAATGTGGAATTAGAACGCTGTGAGAAAGCAATGTAATGAAAAAGAGTTTTCATAATTCCTTGGAAGTTACTTAAAATAATAAATGAGAATTCCACATTCCTGATATAGTGAACGCATCCATATTTATCTTTCAGAAAACCAAAAGATTACAGTTAGATCTCATTCATATTCCTAATTCATTCACTGAATATATGAAACTAATAACTGAGAGTGAGAATATTTGTTTCTTTCAGTTCCTGTTATAACAGAGGACACCTTGGGGATGCTTTGCTAAATACATGTCGCTTACAAAATAACAACCTGTCAGTCCTTTTGCTATGTTTACTACTTCCAAGTTACTTATCTAATGGGTTTATTCAAAGGCATGCTGAAATGGATGAGAAAACACATCTCTGAGCAGAATGTATGATCCTGAGATTCCAGTAATACTTTTAAAAGGTTTAAAAGCATCATAAACAGAAAATGACATCTTGTAAAATATACTGTGGTTTTTTAAGTTCCTAGGAAGTAGTGAAAGCAGAAAAGCCATTTTCTCCTAAGCTCAGCTTTTGTGCCTGCCTTTATTAATTCATGTTAAACCAGGGATGTGCCAGACATGACTCAACATTTGAGGCAAAAGGCCTGGTTCATCTATAATACTAAATGATGGTTTAGCATTAGAAGAATTAGACTTGGAAAAACTTGAGCTTACATGGTCATCCCTCTTTGTCTTCTCATCTTTCACATGTAAGGGAAGAAAGGAGGATGAAAAATTCCACCATCAGTTTTGAATTATCTGTAGTATCCCACTAGATCTGAATTTGTAAAACTGGCAATTTAAAAAACGTTCAAATGTAGTTTTCAGATCATGGTTTATTAACTAACCACAATCAAAATAAACTATAGTTTGCAGTCTGTACATAGGGGACTATCTCAAAATAATAATAATCATGATCATTGTAAGGGTTCATTGCCTCTCCCCTGCTAGAGGATAGGGAACATTGCAAGCTTGATGTTTCCTATAGCTCACTCTCCAAAGCCTCAATGATATTTTTGCATATCCTGAAAGAACTGGAAAAAAGCTTTTGACTTGTAAGTCTCTTTTAGCTTCATACTGGAGCTTTTTATTTCATAGAAACTGCCTTACCCTACCATGCATTCATGCCTGGCATCAGCAGATGGCACGGTTGGTCACATCTTAAGCCAGGATGGCACTTCAGGGAGATGTTCCAGTCCCACCTGACTGGCAAGCTTACTGGGGTGAAAATACTGCCAAGGCCAGCACAGCTCTTTTTCTCTTTTTCTTTGCCACAGATCAGCACCAAGAGGAAAAGTGCCATGTCCCTGACCATCCAAGCTCAGGGGAGACCAATATGGAGGAAGCAGGGTGGGGTTACTCAGCAAATCCCTGGTATGTGATGCTTGCCCCTCCCGACCTTGGTCTCTGGTTTTACAGGATTGTTTAGAGATGCATGTGTGTGCATGTGCCTCAACTCACAAGCCAGGGATCTTGAGGCTGAAAAGGGCATGCATCCCTGCTTTGGGCCGTTTGAGATGCAGTACATTCTGCATGAGTGGCATATTGGGCTCAGCACTAGCCTGCTTGGAAGGGAAGGAGAAAGAAGGTCTCTTCTGAGCATCTGGTTTCACACTCAGTCCTGATCATAAGCTACCCAAATGCAGCCTCTGTTTCTCAAGCATATTTTGTTTTTAAACCAGTTAGTCTATCCAAATCAATGCTCATTCCTTCAGTTGACCTAAGTTATATAGAGGATAAACTGCCTTCAGATATATGATTTTCTTGGTCTGTGTTCTACAGTCTGCCCTCAATTAACCTCATAACTTAACAATTATTCTTACTAAATGAGGCTGCAGTAGTTGAGAGCAGAAATCAGGCCACTGTACTACAATTGTTAAGAACCATTATTCTGTTTCTGAACAACCTTTCCCACAAAGACTGGCTATTCTCTGACATTCTGAAAACCAAGCTATTAATACATCTTATAGGTTTTGACAGGCTTTGTATCGTCAGCTGCCTAACATGGCTTTTATGGATTATTTGATTTTAGGGTTAGCATGCAATCAAAATATAACAGTGCGGTATATTAGGAAAAATGAATATCAGAATCACCTGTTTATACATTAAAGCTTAAAATATAACACAACCACCCCCCCCCATATTCCTGTTCTTTCTACTTTTTACAACTTTCTCCTACCTATTATAGCTCAAACCTGACACATCATTAAACAGATATACCACTTGAGCTATCCTGCTATAATCCAAAAGTATGTCAAATGAAATCTGGGTCAAATACTTAATATTATGATTTTGGGGATCTTTATGATAACTTTGAGAGATGTGCTCACATGTCATGACAACTCATCCTGGCAACAAGCCACAGAGGGTTAGTAGTTGGCCTACGAATCCATAATATGCCAGAGAGATGATTGGGCTCACTGTAGTGCCCTCCATCCCCCTCCTTGCTCGGAGACCTCCTGTGGGTATTCCAGGGAAGCCATGGTAGAAGTATAGCAGGTCAAAGGGAGCTTCCTGGGCCACTTTGTCTGATCCCTGGGGCTCCAGCCCACTGCACTCACGTAATAACCAATATGTGGTTGTTGTAGAATGAAATTGTCTCTCTGATTCCTGCTGCAGTCATTAGCAATTTTAGCTTGCCATTCCTTTTGCATCCTTTACTCAACCTTAGCTTTCAAGAAGGCAAAAACTGACACCCAACTTTTGTGATCTCTGTTTCGACAGCCACTGACAACCCTTTTAAAGTGCCCAAGTGACACTCTGGGAAGGCCGTCATTGACTGGCAGAACCTTTTAAAAAATGCCAAAATAAACAAATTTATTTATTTATTTATTTCCATTTATATGTCACCTACTACCCAAAGGTCTCAAGGTGGCTTATAATAAAAAGTATAAATACATACAACAATAAACAAACAATAAAATATGTCATAATCAAAATTTAAAACATAATAACAACAACATAACGGAACAGTGAATGGGAAGGCAGGATCAATTATTTTAAAAGTTACTAAAAAGGAACATTTTTGCCTGGCACCAAAACAATAATAGAGATGGCGCCAGGTGGACATCCCTAGGGAGACTAGGCAGGGAGCAGCCACTGGGAAGGCCTTTCTTCTATTTGCTATCCCTCTCACCTCTTTGGGGGATGGCAATTGCAGAAGGGCCTCCTGACCTGATCTTAAGGGATGGGCAGGTTCATATGAGAGGAGATTGTCTGTCAGGTAGCTGGGCTCTAAGCCATTTAGGACTTTATATGTCATAACAAGCACCTTGAATTGGGCCCTGGCGGCCACTGGTAGCCAGTGCAATTCTTCAGCAATGGAGTGATATGCAC